CTCAATAGGTATCTCACCTGTTGGATTATGAGTAGATGACAGACGTCGAGATTTCTTCTCTTTCCTTGGGGGAGCTAGCTCATATTTGAGATCTTTCTTGCACCAAAATTGTATCCATTCATTAAAAGAGACCCACATATTACCATTATTTTCCTCTTTAAGATGATGAAAGGTAGCAAACATACACTCACAAGTTCGGGGAAGAAATCTTTCTCTCTTGTCATCAAAACCGGTAAGTTCCGTGGAGTTAGGTATCACTTCTTCGTAAGGGACTCCGCTAATTGGCAAACCACCAAGAATATGCAAGTCCCAAAGAGATATGGATGTTTCTCCAGTAGATGTAAGTAATGTATTTGTTTGGCACCAAGCCTCACAAAAGGCTTGTATAATATTAGAGTTTCGATCATAAGTAAAAAGATAAGCAAACACAGCATCACAAATACAAGCATTGTTTAGACTTTGCCTATTTTTGCTTAAGACATCTTTTGTCCATTCCCAGTATCCCAGATTGCAATGATATTCACCTTCAAGCACAATGTTGTCTCCCCAACGTAGTTCCTCTAGAATCATGCGACGACCTAATTTGGAAGGGTGCTCTCGCGATGTTTGTACGTTGAGGATTTGGTTTCTCAAGATACCACACTTTTGAGGCTTTATTAAATTTGTGATCGTATTCGGATGTCCAACTTCTCATATGAAGCGTGTTCCTCAATTGTGGCCATGGATCAACATAACGACCAACTAAAGAATCCTGGACCAAAAACGTAGTTTCCACCGTACTACCTTATGTTCCAACGATGAGATATTTGAGTTTAGAAGATGGGCAAGTATAATCCTTGAAGAAAACCATTGTTCAAACTACAAAAAAAAAGGAGTGTTAATATTTATTGATGATGATGCATGAAAGAAGATAAAACTTGGAAAGGGGGTAGTTAAGAAGGGGCGAATAATTTAAGCATTAGGGATCTTGAAAAGCCTTAAGTTAGTGATCTTTAAGGCGGGGACGTTAAACACATCCCTTCACACCTTATGCTTAAGTATTCGGAACCTTGTAAAGCCTTGAGAGTAGTATTTTTTTCAAGGCGGGGACGTTAAACACAATATTCTAGTAAAGCCTCAAGTTAGTGATCTTCAAAGCGGAGACGTTAAACACATTCCTTCACACCTTATGCTTAAGTATTCGGGACCTTGTAAAGCCTTGAGAATAGTATTTTCTTTTCAAGGCGGGGACGTTAAACACAGTATTCTAGTAAAGCCTCAAGTTAGTGATCTTCAAGGCGGGGACGTTAAAGACATCCCTCCACACCTTATGCTTAAATATTTGGGACCTTGTAAAGCCTTGAGAGTAGTATTTTTTTTCAAGGCAGGGACGTTAAAGACATCCCTCTACACCTTATGCTTAAGTATTCGGGACCTTGTAAAGCCTTGAGAGTAATATTTTTTTTCAAGGCGAGGACGTTATACACAGTATTCTAGTAAAGCCTCAAGTTAGTGATTTTCAAGGCGGGGACGTTAAACACATCCCTTCAGACCTTATGCTTAAGTATTCGGGACCTTGTAAAGCCTTGAGAGTAGTATTTTTTTTCAAGGCGGGGACGTTAAACACACTCCTTCACACCTCAAGATCAGACTCTTGTGCAATGAAGCTCACTATTTTTGTTGGCCTTTGAAAAGAAAGACACAAAAAAAAAAGGAAAAAATAAGAGTACAAAATAAATAAATAAATAAAATACCGTAGCACAAGAATCTCTCTGTTGTGAAGAGGGATTTCACGATCTCTGAATGTGTCCAGAGAATATGGAGACGTGAGGCCTATTTATAGACTTAGAAAATAGGGGTTTTTAACTCCTAGTGGAATAAGAATTAAGACCCCAATTAGACTCCTAATAGAATTCAAAAATGTTATTTGTATAGGGTCGGCGGGGCTAGGCAGCTTTCTTAATTCTACTACTATTGGAATTAAGACCAAAAAAAAACGGCTTCAATTGGATCATAATCCTACTCCTAATTGAATTCATTATTTGAGGCAGTGATATTGTTAACGAAAGCAGCTCATGTATTGACTAAAAGTAAGTCATAGCCATAAAACAACTTGCTATATAGGCAAACCCACGTGGGTTTATTTTGCATGTATTTGGCCTCCTTTTTAAAAAGGAAACAAAAGTATTATGAAGAAATTAAAATCATAATTTCTCATTAAACATGCAGCAACTCAAAATTGTTCCACATATTAAAGAAGATCTTCATTAATTACTTCAAACCTAGTCTTTAAAAGATAAAATATCTCGACAAGACTTGAAGCAGGGGGCATTTGTAATCATTTAAAATTTATGAAATATAAATTTATAAATTGATTTCGACTATATTAAATTCACGAATATATTAGTCCAAATAAATATTATGGATTAATATAATTGAGCTAATTATTTAAGTTCAATAAATATGAATTTAATTAAAATCTAATTTAATTGATTTGGGCTACAATAGATGAGCCCAATTTGCTAAGCCCAATTTAACCTCATCCTGGAGGCCCATTTTTTGGTGCCACATGACAAATGATGTGGCATGCCAAGTCAAACAGAAAGCGAATAAGATCATGACATGTGTCAAAGATGACAAACCCACTCCATAAAGCCCATATTACATGTCACTTAAATTTGATTGGCCGAAGGGAATCTTGTTCCAATCGCAACTCCTTTATTCTAAAACTATAAATAGGGGTCTTCATAATTCAGAAAGAAGACAGAAAATTCTAAACAAGAAGCTAGAGAAAATCTGTGGTACAAACGCCATAAAATTCTCTATAAAGCTACAAGTTTAAGAATTCAAGCATTCAAGTTCAAGAACGATCACGATCAAGACCATCAGACTCAAAAACAAGCTCGAAGTCCTTGAATTCAAGCAAAAGTCAAGATCAAAACAAAGTTCAAAGTTCAAATTCATCGAAGATTCAAGATCAAGCTTTAAAGCCCTTGAATTTATATTTGAAAAGCCGAATTCAGCGGAATCATAGAGATTGTAGCACTCGCACTTTGAAATAATAAATACGATTGTTGCTATAATTTTCCGTTCTTGATTATTGTTTTCTCGACGCGGATTTATTGTCTACAATAGACATAATTAGAGTTTAGGATTAGAGTAGCCTCCAAAAATTATAACTGGAATAAAATACAACTAGAAATGAACACGTCTAGCAATGTCCCATAAATTTTCAATATCTACAAGGAGTATGTGCCATCATTGGCCCAATATATATTACTTTCTATATCTAAATTTATGTGACACAAGTGAAATTTAGAGAGTCAATCAAATTTTTATTTGTCTTTTTTTTCTATAAATATTTTAAGTTGTCAATTTTTTTGGTGATTTATAGTACTTTTTACGTCATTTCCAAATAACAAGTCAGTCCTTCTTTATTTCAATTTATGTGGCACAAATGAAATTAAGAGAGTCAATCATATTTCTTATACGATTTTTATATATTTTGATTTGTTAATTACTATGATTTATAGTATCTTTTACGTAATTTTTAAATAATATATGTTATTTCATTTGTTCAAATTCATGTGACACTGATAGAATTTTGAGAGCCAACTAAATCTTTTATATGTTTTTTAATTTTAAAATATTTTAAGCTGTTAATTTTTGTGATTTATAGTACTTTTATGTAATTTTCAAATATAAAATAAAATAATTTAAGTTGTTAATTATAGTGATTAATAGTATTTTAAACGAAATTTTTAAACATACAATTTTTTTTTTTTAAAAGACAAATAAATCAAACACAAAGAGTACCAAGTTTTGTGAGGTGGGCCCTCTTTGTAGAATAATAATGTATAAATGTAACATAATAACGTAAACGAATGTATATACCATTTATATATATACAATATAAGCTGAAAATAAAAGGATCATTTATTTATTTTTTGATGATTCATTTTGTGTTTGATATCCTGCTTGATTAATCTAAATTTGTGTTACGTAGGACTTAATTCGAGAGGAATTACTTTCTATCAGTTAAGCAAAATTATAATACCAATACAATATATATTGATTTAGTATCAATTAAGTGAAATTATCAGCTTTAATGATACCAATACAACATATGTTACTGATTTAGTATCAGTTAAGCAAAAATTATCAGCCTTAATGAATAAGGGATATGGGCTGTATTTTTTTTTGTGAGAGAATGAGAATTTTTTGAGTTACTTTGAATTTGAGTATGAACATATAATTATTTTAAAATTTATGACAGATTTTTTATATCCAGAGCTCGAATTGAGGAGAGAGAAGGCCCAAAATAGTCCCTCATTTTTGGGTTAAGATTCAAAATCATCCTTGAGTTTTTACGTGGAGCATTAATAGTCCCTCATGTTTGCAATATTGGTGCACTTTTGGTCCTCTCCTAAACTTTTGCCTAATTTTTAACATTAATTTTGTTCATAATTTTATGTAAGGAATGTCCCCATCATCTTATATATTTAGTAGAAATAATAACTCTATGTGAGAGAAAGTGAGAAGAAGAACACCTTGTTCTATTCAGTATAAATATTACTGCAGCTAAACTAAGAATATTTTAACGTATAACATTGCAAGAAAAGAAAAATTTGTACTATTGCACGTGAAATCATCGTGATGAACCTCTTGACTTTACCTGCAATACGATTTCTACTAAACAAACCAAAGTGTTTTTCTTCTCACAATCTCTCACGTAGAGTTATTATTTCTACTAAATATATAAAATGACGATTAAACATTCCATACATAAATTATGAATAAAATCAATGTTAAAAAATATTAGGCAAAATTTTGAAGGAGGACCAAAAGTTCACCAATATTGTAAATATGATGGACTATTAATGTTTCATGTGAAAATTCAAGGATGACTTTGAGTCTTAACACAAAGATGAAGTTTTGGGCCTTTTCTCAATTGAGGAGGAAAACATATTTTTTTTAAGCCCCCGAGAAAAAAATAAATGAAGTCCACGTGTCCGGGCAATGCTAGGCGTAAACGTCTCCGAGTGATCACTATAACAAATTCGCTGATCACAATCTCTTTGATCGAAACCCTAAACCTTTGATCGATCGAACGGTGAAGAATGAGCGAAGAGGGTGGAAAGATGAACAGAGAAGCTCCGGCAATGGTGGCAGCCACCGGCGAGCCATTGCCGGCTAACTATTACTACGGGACATTTCAAGGAGTCGCCAATTATCAAACTCCTCCTTCGCAATCTCAACCGGTCTTGGGTTTCCCTCAACCTATACCTCCTCCAGGTGTCCCCGTTGTTCCTCCGTGTTACTATCCTCATGGTTATCAGACCGTTCAAGGTGCTTTTCTTTTCTTCTCATAATGTTTTACAAATTAAAATGAGAATACAGAAAAGTCAAATTTGTTTGTAGTTCCATTTACTTTGTTGGATTTGTGTGCTTTAAGTTGAGGTATAATTGGTATATCAAATAAGATAATTTGGATATGCTGGGATTAGAAATGGATTATAATATGATTAGATATAGATACTCCATCTATTTCATCTTATGTTGTAGGGTTTGATTTGAAACGGAGTTTTACAAAAGAAAGATAAGTTTTTGGAACTTATCATTGGGTTTAAGTTGTTATATACACCATTGTGAAAAGAAAATTACAATATGAAGTCAACCAAAATTCTCATGTAAGTCTTGTCAAAATTTTCAAGAGTGGTAATTTTGAAAATCAGACAACTTATGTGCTACAACAGGTGGAGATGACCTTTTGTGCGACCATGCATATGAGCATGCCATGATATCTCTATGGTTATAAAAGATTGTCATCAAAGATAAAATGAGAAGTCTACAGTAAATCATTTTAAATATAGAAAGGTGTTTGGGTTTTCTTCTCAGAGAGGTTTAAGGTAGGGGATCTCATGTCACCCTTATTTTTCATCATTGATACGTAGTAGTTAAATGATATATTGAAAGTTGCAAAATTTAATGAATGGATCAGGGGTTTCAATGAATATGTTGATAATACACTAGTATCTTGTGTTGTTGACAAAGATCAATTGAAAATGCTGAGGGCGATTTTCATTTTGTTTGAAGCCACTTCTGGATTAGTATATAAACTGGAGTAAAAGTTATATTTGTCCAGTTAACGATGTAAGGGAGATACACAGTTTGGCTGAAATTTTAGTAACTAAGAGTAAATCTAAAGTGATCCATAATGGAGTATTGGAGAATTGTGAAAAAGAATTAACAAGCTGGAAGAGTCAATACTTATATCTGGGTGGAATATTAACTTTCATTAGTAGTGTACTTTATGCTATGCCTATCTATATATGATATCTCTACTCCAGTCCCTGCAAGTGTAGTGAGAAAAATTAATATACTACGAAGAAATTTTCTATGGCTAGGCAATTGTGAGAAGAAAAATTCACCTAGTCAACTTGAATACCTATTAGTCAGCAAGAAGAAAGGGGAATTGGGAATTAAAAAATTGAAGATTTAGAACCAAAACTTGATTATGAAGTGGTTATGGAGGTTTACTACAGATAAGAACTCAATGTGGAAGGATGTAATCAGAATCAAATATGGAGCTGAAGGTAATTGGACTATAGATCGTGTGAACATCTCTTATGGGGGTTAGCGTATGGAAGCCCTTCAAGAACTTATGGCCGTCAATCATATGCAAGTCCAGACTCAAGGTAGGATATTACTTGAAGACATCTTGTTGGGAAGATTACTTTCTAGATCAAAGTCTACTGAAGTTACTTTTTTCAATACATTTATAATCTTTTGCCAACAACAAGGGGAAATTGTGAGAGAGTTGTGGACAGAGCAAGGGTGAAACCTTAGCTTCAAAGGATTATTAAATGATTAGGAGATTGACAGGATTACAAAGTTATGCAACACCTTATCACAATTCAAAGGGCCTCTGAGGATTACATGATATGGCAAAGGAACAGTTAGGGAAAGTTCTTTGTCAAGTCAGCTTATAGAGAATATAACCTTTCCAACAATCAGGTTGGATGTTGGCCATGGAAGATGATATAAAGAGTCAAAATCTCATTTAAAGTTTCTTGTTTCACTTGGTTCTTGGCAAAAGAGGTAGTTTTGACGCAGAATAATTTGGTAAAGGAGCTACCTATTATGTTTTAGATGTTACCTATGTGGAAAACAGGAAGAGATTATTAACCATCTCTTTTTACATTGTAAGTGGACAAACCAACTTTGGAAAATAACTGTCAACCTAAGGGGAATTAGTCGGACTATGTAGGAAGAATAATGGAAGTGCTAGCTAGATGGAGCAGAGATGGAGGATTGTCCCATCATAGAATACCTAAAAGATTCTAAATATGTTTTTGATATTCTAGACTACATGTAAGAAGACATTGTTCTAGGAACTTACTGGTATTTCACTCTTTGGTTACCTACACAACTTGTTTAGGTCTATAGGATGCCTTGTTATATTTCGTTTTTTACCATTCTTAAAGGAAATATTAATAGAAAGATGTCACTCTCTTTGGAACGGACTATAAAGGAACGAGCATCACACAATTGAGAAGAGGAATTACAGAATTTTATATACTTGTAAGAATGAGATAGTTGCAAAGATAGGTAATCGAAAATATGTTTAGTCGTTTAAGCTCCACCCAACTATAATATTCCATCAGTCCTAATTTATGTGAAGATGTTTGAGTGAACACGAATTTAAGAATGAAAGGAAGACTTTTGAAACTTGTAGTCTAAAATAGGTCATAGATAATTGTGTGATATGTTGCTTAGACTCTTAAAACATGCCTCCAAAACTAGTGCATTTTTGGAGAATCTGACACAGGTGCGGCAACATTTTGGGGAGTCCGAGCAACAAAGGTTGTGTTACTATAAATCATCTTATTAAGAGAAATGAGAAGTTTTAAGTTAATTGTTACTAAATATAGGAATGTGTCATTCTTTTTAGGACTGACTAAAAAGGAAAGAGTGTCACATATATTGGAATGGAGGGAGTTATTGATTTAAAGTAGTCTCTACTCTGCAACTTAGTTTCTGGTTGAATATGGAGGCTTATAGGTGTAACATTGATTTTTGTTGAAGAATACCTATATCCGGTTATGCAACCCAATGCAATTTTTATTTAATTTAGTTTAATTTCGGGAACAATAGGGGTGGTGAAATTGCCATTTGAAAATCAATCCAAGAGAGTTGAAACCAGGGTGTAGGGGTCGCTTGTGTGCTACTCGACTAATTCCACGAGGTAGTTGGTACCTCCTACTAGCACACACCAGGTAATTTTGTCTTCCATGGCTTGGACATTTGAGAAGAAATCACCTAGTATTTTTGTCTCGCAAGAAATCGAACCTGAAATCTCATGGTTCTCAACCCAGTTCATTGACATTGAATGGTACTTCTAGTCAAGTAAAAGGTATTAAAGTTCCATGATATGTTTTAAGAAGTGTAATGAGGTTAAAGAAACTACTAGTTATGTGTCCCACCAAATCTGGTGGTCTATTTATCAATCAAAGGCCAAATTGATCACTGTGTATAACATGTGACAATGTTTAACATTGGTTGTGGAACAGAGGATGGGGAGCGCTCATATGGTATTTGATTATTTATCTCTTAAGGTTCTCTGAAAGTGAATTCCCAAAAGTACTCTTGATTTGGTTGTGTGAGTTGCACATGCTTCCTTTGGTCCTAGCATTCCAAATTTTAACAAGGATCACTGATTGTGAGTCAGAAAAGGTAATAAAGAAAGTTAACTATGTTGAGAAATCATGTTATACTTCTTATAATAGTTTGTGGAGGTTTAGCGTGTTTTTCTCTTCCACGTCTGAAAACTATTCAATTTAAGGTAATTAGATACTAAAATATATACGTGTATTTGGGTCTAACTAAAGCTTGTTAAATGTTATGCGAATAAATTTCCCAGGGCTTTAGTTCAGCAGCAAAGGCAGTACAAGGAGAGAAAGGCATAATCACATGTTTGAGTCTTGATATGAACCAAGTCCGGTATTTAAGTAGAGAAGGGTAGAAAGATAGTTCGTTATCGATTGCCTTTTGAGGCTGAAAACAAACAATTTCTCGATTGTAATAAATGATAGGTCTGGAAGGAAAAAATTATGAGATGGCGATAGAGAATAGAAGAATTGGTCTTTCAATATCAACCTCTTAAACCTTTTTTCTTTCCTTATTAGTTGGTCTTATATGTGTTATGAGAAGTAAATGCGATGGCTAATGAGTACTATTACCAAAACCTTCTTGACTATCTTAGTTGTTAGTACAACTACAACATACCCAGTGAAATCCCATTAACTAGGGTCTGGGGAGGGTAGAGTAGAGTGTACGCATACCTTACCACTGCCTCGTGAAGATAGAGAGGCTATTTTTGAAAGACCCTCGGCTCAAGTACATCAAACCCTAGTAAAAGAAGAAGAAAACAATGAAGAAAGCATAGCAGTTAATAAGAAAAGCGATGTAAAGTCTATAGGAAAGAAACAATAACAACAACCTCTCTTAGTTGTTGGTATAAGACATAAAGTTTTCTTGTTCGATATAGAGTGCTCGTTTGGTGGGAGGGATTAGGAAAAATATCCCTCCAAAAAATCATACATAAGAGAACAATGTTTGGCTTGGGGTGGAGGGATGAGGCAAAAATATAATTCCCGTAATACTAATGCAATATTTTATTTTATTTTATTTTTGAAACTGGTAAGGTTAAATTCTTCCGCATGTATGCTGGCTACCTCCTAAAAGGGATAATTACAGATTTCCTATCAAATCTATAATCTGATCTATATCATCTATTTTTTTTGAGAAAGGTAACATTACTTCTATATATCCACAGGTATACTACATCAAAGTGTAGTCCCCCTCCAAAAAGTTTTACTTACATCATTCCTAGGATCTTCTAGTTACAACCAGTCAATAATATTAAACACATTTTCAGCATCTCCTATCACTACTTGCTTACACCAAAAATAATAAAGCCCTAGGCAATTAGTCTTTATCTTCTGGATATTGTTCTGTTTTCCTTCAAAGCATCTTTGATTCCTTTCCTTCCAAATTGTCCACCAAATGCAAGCTGGGACAATCCTCCATCTCTTCTCATTTTTTCCTGCATTTCCATCCCTGTTCCAGAATTGTAGGACTTCTATAATACTCCCAGGCTTTGTCCACTTAATCTTCCTTTTTTGGATAAACATCTGCCACAATTGATCAGTCCATTTGCAGTGTAAAAAGAGATGATTGACTGTCTCCATCCGTTCTTCACATAGATAGCAACTAGAACGTAGATTGGGTTTCCTCTTGTTTAAGTAGATTGGGTTCTCATGTGTCAAGACTGCCTACTTTGCCAA